AGGCAGTGTGTTAATTCAGTAATCCAAGGCTTCATATATATTTATACATAGCTAGATCTGTATATTATGCATTTTCCAATCTTCCAACTGCAATTTTAGTATCAATATTGAAATGTGTAACTGGAAAAATTCGCTAGGCCAAATCATTTTCAACCCTCTGTTTATTCAACTAAGCCTTTTTTCGTCTTAATTCTTCAATTTACAGGTGGATAAGTCTTAGAACGACCTGTGACTACTTAGAGCATGCAACTACTGAAATAATTTTAAACACGATAAACAGAAAAGCTCTCTCAAAGGATAGAGTACTACGATACTGTGTTATTCTCAGACACTTATACCAAAGCGAAATCGTATACTGAAGTGATGTTTCACAAGAATGATCTTGCCGAGATCCTGACTGTTGACTCAAAAAAGATTATTTGTAACTAAATATTCCTTAATTTGATTAGAAACAGCAAATTCAAGCACTTTTTCAAGGGATGGCATTGTCGTATGGGACGAAAGTCATTGAAATCAGGAGGTTAAAAGACTAATAAAATTCAACAAAATATGTCCAACAAACATCGTTTCCTTCAAACGTTTATTGTTAAACTCGCTCATACTTAACAGCTCAACAATATTGAGACGTATCTATCAAGGGGTATATAGGATAGGACAAAGATATGCCAGTTTGAAGACTACCTGGATATTCCTTTATATTCGCTACAAAGTATACATTGTCAGCTATATCCACTCGATCATTACAATAGTTCATCTCCAATTCCAAACAAAATTTCGTTGAAATAAACGTCGCTGCCAGTGTTGATTATGGAATCCAAGCTCCTTCACCATTCGTTTTGGGTTACTTCTGCTAAGGTTATTTGTCCATAACAAAATGCTTTTTTCTGTCAGAGAAGGCTGACATATGAATTTCCAGAATCTTAAAATTTTTGTCATATATACCCTGTTAATAAAGTATGTAGACAAACTTTAACCATCGAATCCTTGGTCAATTTGAAGACGAAATTTCCATATGAATATGGGTTCGCAACGGCTTTGTTTCCAAGCTAGAGCATATTAGAACTAAAAGAAATGATGATATTCCTCTAAAAATTTATAAAAGAATGGAACGTATTTTATTTTAATTAAGTATGCCCTATGGTGAATATCACATGATTTACAGTTGTTTTCAGACCCTCCATGAACGTAGATACGGATAATCTTATCCAGTATTTTTTGAAAAAATAGCATGACATTGATTTGTTTTGATCGCAATACTTTTAATACTTAAGCATTGTGCTTATCTAGACACCTATGACGTACCCGAAAACAATTGAATTAATTTATTTTTTCAAATAATTCTTTGAACATTTATTGTAAAAAAACTATTCCATATTTTCTATTGTTGTCGTTCTATTAGAATGTTACTGTTTAAAACTATTGACCATCTAAATAATTTTGACAAAAATACAGGACAATACTATTTTCATCCACGTTCATATTGAGCCTCAGTAACTTGTAAAACAAGCAAAATCTATCATAGGTTATACCAACTGTTCAATAAATACGTTTCATTATTCATAGAAATATTTGGAACATTACTCGTATTTCTTTAGTGATAGTGCTCTAGCTCGAAAAGAAAGCCGGTACGGACCCATGCTCATATGAACATTTAGTCTTAAAATTAACCAAGTATTCGATGGTTAAAGTTTGTCTACATACTTTATTAACACCCTGTATATCGCTACAAAATTTGTGCTTCAAGCAAATTTTGCCGAATGCCTCAGATTTTTTCCAAAATTACAGGATGGAAGCGACTATAACGAAAAATAAGATAAAAAAATGTTGATTCAAATGTAATAAAATGCCACAGTATTTTTATTGCGATTTTTCTAAATATGGCCAAAAGCGGTTCTTTGCTCTTATTTTTCCAACTGAGATTTTTACAAAACAATTTTTGATATGAAAGCATTTATAGTTTTCTATTACAGACCTGTTGAGACCAAGCCATCGTCAACCAAAACATCTATAGAAGTTATTGCAAAAAAGCTATTAAATATGAATCGTTTTCAAATTGTTTATAGCTATTTCAAAAATAAGCACATTCCAATAAAATTCTGTAATATAATAGTCCTTGAAGGGTAAATCATAAGGATACTTTCAGAGTTTCAGGCTATAAACAGTATTTTAGAAAACACTCAGGTCGTAAAGTATAAGTTTTGCTATAGCATGAAATTATGCGCATTACAAAATGCTCATGGATATGTGAAACCTTTTAAACGTAACAAATAATACGACCTAACAAATTTCTACAATTTCTACTTTTTTTGTTGTCTCGCAATGAAAACATTTCTAGGGTGGAACAGTGGAAAACGAAAATTATAGTGTTAGAGGTGGAGCAAAAAAACATCACATGATTTTCAATACAATGCACAGCATTGGATCTCGGGAACGGTTAGAGTTCCAATATTGGTTTGCACCTAAAACTTAATTTGATTGCAGTATTTCGTATGCCTTATATTTCTCTTTAGCTTATAGTGGAAGTATGTAACGTGATCGAAACACATGTAGTCAGTGTAAACATCTCCAAACCAATATGCACTTTTCACTAAGTAACTGCCAAAATACATATAGTGCATCATTACCAAAAATATATGTTTTATTATCTGAAGAATCATAAATTATTCAGAACCTTTGACAATTTGGGACAAAACTAATATTTCGTCGGGTTATTGCCAAAACAAGATAAGTACATTTTTGGGTTAAGTGCAGTTCTCTATCTAAAATGGTTATAGTCTGTGTTCTGGCAAAACCAGATACCTTCGTGTTAAGAGGAAGAGAGTTGTAAGCGTGTGCCACAAATACGTTAAATGCAACATGAGGCCGTTCAAGACAGCTAAAACAAGATTCGTGCACTTACGATTAACAACATTCAAATTGTCGTATGACATAACTATAGTTTTCTAACACCGAAAATAAGTCATAAGGCACTTATCTCATTTTAGCAGTTTTGTTTTAGCGTTGATGTCATAATTTTGGAGTCAGAATAAGATAAGAGCCACACATCAGGTTTTTGCTGTGCCGGTGTGAATCGGAATCAGCGGTTGTTTCAGATCTATGTTATGGTAGTTACTGGCCCCTCCCTAGTCAGCATTTTGCTAGGTGTGGACAGCGCTAAATGGAAAGTGAGGTACCTCAGAAATTGGGTGCTTGCTTATGCAATTACATAAATCAGCTATCTTCTGATGTCACCGAACTATCACTATTTTTTTGGACACGTGTAGCGGTAAAAATATTAGTGCTCTTCTGCTGTGCATGATCCAAATTAATCAAAATATTCAAGAAAGTGCAAAAGTTTTCAGAAACTGGGCACAGCTAGTATGCACAGTGAAAATGAAAAGGCGCAGAAGTTCGTTCCTGTTTATACAATCCAGGACAGGTTGACAATTATCCGCAAGGCCAAAGCGTCTAGATTGAATACAAACCGTATAACGTTAAAGCTTAAACTATACAGACTTTTTTGATTTAGAAGACATCAAAAATTCTAATGAAAGATCAATTGAAGAACACCTCAGGCGAAAAGGTTTATTCACTTAAGGTCAAGTGTTCCAACCTTGGATATTAGTATAGGTACGATCATACATCCGATTATGTGGAAATAAACGTTTTGGGTAAAGGACGACCTATACAGTCAAGACAAATAAAAATAACAGATGCGGTTCGAAAACTTAGACGAATATTAATAAAGGAAAAGAGTAAGAATCGCTTAAACTTTGTAAAGGTAATGTTATTTCTGAGGAATACCACTATTATAACAATCGCTTCTGACCTTCAAAGAAGCAAAGGATCTTCCAGGTCGTGCAGCACGGGATTCTGATCACAAGGAAGAAGGGGAAGCGGAAGAGTCAAATAGCTAAGCTACAAAAATGTATACAGAAAAAAAAACAAGTGCAAGAGAAATAGTTATTTATTATACAAGGGAAAAAAGTACTAGATTTTAGCTTGAGGTTGTATTGACAAAAAACCGAAAGCTAAAGTCTAATATTTTTCCCCTGTAAAATACACAATTTTTTTCTGATGGTAAAACGACAATTTAATATTGAAAAATTATATGATTACAATATTTAAGTCAGAAAATTATAGATGTGAAATTTGAATTTTGAAATTAGTAGGGTACGTTGTACTTATAGCGACAATTAGACCTGCGTTGCTAAGGAAACCTTTAAAGTAATCAAATAGCTGTCAATTTGATTTTGTGATTGTGATTTAAAAATTGTGAACTTAGTGGTTGCTTAGAAGTTATTTTTAATACTATAAAGTAAAAAATATTTAATTCCAAGTTTTCTTTGACTGCACCCGAATTTGTAGCCAAAGTAGCGTCACAAAAATTATTGCCAGCTAAATCGCGGATATACAATATCCGGTAAAAAAGTACTCATTTTTTCCAGGGGAAAAAAGTAATTTCATAGAAAGTGACATTTGGTTACCTGTCAACAGAGATATAATGTCAAATTTTTTTCCCGTACACAGAAAAAATGTGTTTTTTTGTTAATAGATAGTTTTCCAAAAGTTGTGATTATTTTATTTATTGTTTCGTTAAGACTCCTGTTAAGAATTTACCTTGTGAATAAAAAGTATTTAATGGCTTTGTTTGATTTTTAACCTAACAAATAAAGTTTCAAATTCTCATATTTCAGAAGTATAAAAATGTTAAGTTACCTGGTTTTGGCAGTAACTCGACGATTTGGTAACGAACGGATTTGTAAGTGCGGACTTAGAATTAACTATTGGTAGCTTCATATAATTGCAAAAGAATTGAAGTATATTTAAATTCGTCTTCCAAATTCGAAAATCGTAGTCACCGACGTCACAAGTTGTTATTTCACTATATTTTTGTACACGAAGCAAAGTGAAGCCATATCTATTTTTGAGTGAAAATGTAAATATGTCATTTTTTATGCTGCGTGGGCCGACAAATAACCTGTTAACTTTTTTATCATACTAATTAAGAAAAAACTTACCTTACTTAGAGGCGAAAATAAAAATCAGCGTCTGGATTAGTATAATAGCACACAACAGTATACACAGAGACTAAATCACAAAAACTCGAAAATCACCGGATTTTATTTAGTAAATCACAGAAAGGAAAACAGAAGCTTCAGCAATAGATTGATGGAATTATGATATCCTGATATTATATTTATCAAAAGGCGATGATTATCAGACTTTTCGCGATTTTAGAGTTTTCAGCACGGCGGACATTTCCAGAATGGTGTACAAGTCCGAAATAGCTGAGGCTATTTCTGGACACGCTGACGCTTTCTTATACTACTTATACGAGCGATACGAAATATTCGTATATTCAGAACATTTTTTTCGCTTAATTAGAACATTGTATTTTTGAGTTTACTCTCCACGCTGATGAGCGTTAATTACGGGGATATTTCTACTTGGAGAGCAGGTTCTTCAGATCTTTTGCGATGCCTTTGCGAATTGGTGGATCGGGTTTCTGCTCTATCTTAAATGTTAAATTTGCTGCCTTCAAGAAACGACATCGATAATTTCAGGGATCGACGTGGCCAGCACTACCGCCTGTGGTGGAGGATATCGCATGCACTTTCTGTTGTGCACATATTATATCGGTTAAAATTTATTTATTTTACATACCAAATGTTACAATAATGCTGTTGGCAACTATTTATGAGAGAAGAATTATGAAAATGCAGTGAAATGCTCCCCACGATTTTTATTCTGAATTGAATTATTCTCTTAATAACCTAAATTTTATTATAATTTTATTCTGAGGTCATTAATTATGATTGATTGTTCGACCATCTACTACTGTAATATAAACTCTTTGTAATTAAAAATTATTCTCTACTTTTTAGTTCCGTTAGCTATAAAAGCATGTTTTTTTAGTCTTTTAAACTATTATTTATTTTTAATTCTTTAGTTCGATTTATCAATTAGTTTTTTTGTGGACATATGGTATTGAAATATCTTACGAATCATTTCGTAATCTAATCATTTCATTTAGAGCTTCACTGTTGCACGGGGTTTTTCCTGTTAACTTAGAGCAATCAAGTTCTTCAATCCGAATACCTTCTAAAGATCTTACACGACTAAGTGCTACATAAGCTTGTCCAGCAGCAAACAATCGCGAGCCTAGATAAATGTCTGTACAACCTTGCATCTTGTGGACGGTCGAAACCCAACTCAGGATTAATGGCAACATTCATTCCTTGAAAAAGTATCTGCCGCCGTTGTGCTGTGCCGAGTCCAACCCAGTGGCATGCAAGTACTAAATTTGAGGCGATAACGCGCGCGTTACCTGTCATAATACATTACTCGTAATACCGTATTATTTACGCGTATAGTATGTCGCAAATATGTAGTCTGTCTTCAACTACTATAATTTCTGGGATACATGGTGTTTCGTACTTTAATAGGTGGGTAGTAAAGACCCAGGCCTTTTCGTATCTGAAAATAAAAAAGCTCTAATTCTGTTTTTACGGATATGCAGGCTGATTTATTACATGCCAAATCTTTAATATCACATAATTCAGGCACTGTTGAACAGATTTTCTTGAAATTTTGCATGTAAAATGCATGTAAAATTAGACGGACCGTCAAATATCCAGGGCTAAGCTCGATTTTTCGCTTTTTTGATTTTTATCAAAATCAACACCTTTTAACCCGTATATTGAAATATTTTACCATATACAAGCAAAGCCAATAAATGGTACTAATTAATCAGTAAAATAGATTGATTGCTCCTCTTTTTGTTCTTTAGTGAAACATTTTTATTTATTCAATATTGTGGACAATTTACAAAATCGTGCCGAAAATTGAACTTGAGGTGTCTTGAGTGCTCAAAATTCCAGCATCAGATTTACTTTTTTTTATTTCCTTGTATTTTATCAAGTGCAATTCCGTGTAGGTTATATTCTAAGTTTATTATTGTTTTGCAGATAAAAAGCAATTCGCAAAAAATAAAATTGATGTACCCTACTTAGTTTTTTTTTCAGTAATTTTTTATGATTTAATTCTCAAACTGATGTTATACATCTTAAAGGAAACGGCATTTAGCATGCACATGACCTGAATTTGATTGTCCAGACTAATTCAAGATTATGATAGAAATGTGGAACAACCTAATACACAGGTCCGGATTCAGCATTTTCAGCATTATTACGTTTACTGTCTCTAGCCATAACCCTACGGTAGATTTCGTTACGTTTTTGTAGGTTTTCAACTTGGAGTTCGAATGCGTATGAAAGGTCTAATTTAGTGGAATTATATAATAAATGCAGTTCCATTTCAAACAGAACTCGTGTGAATGTACAATATCACTTGCTAGAATTAAATCATTAAGAATATTACCGAAAATGTAAATGGGGTGCATAACAGTAATTTTCCCTATTTTCTCTCTCTTTCTTTTTAGAATATTAATAGACTTAGAATATTAAGTACAGCGCGTTGTACATAGAATCTGAGTGTGGAATTTTGAGTTTCCAAAATATCTGATCTTTAAATCCAATCATTATTTTGTAAAATGTTGATGAAACTCTTGAAATTTTGATTTTTGTGTTATATAAACTGTTAAAAATATAAACCAACAGATGTGCAATTAGTCTATTTTGCTAATTAATCAGCACCATTCCTTGGTTTTTTTTTGTTCATTATCAGACATTCCAATATTCAAAGAAAAAATAGTGTCGAGCCCTGGACTTATTAATAGTTTGTCTAGTTTTAGGCTGCTTCCAGGTAAGTTTGTTAACCTGAAAAATATGTGATATCAAAGATTTGGCGTGTTTAAATAAACTCTGTACAGTGAAATCCTCCTTCGCGGACACTCCTCTTATACGGACACCTGCTTTAAACGGACAGTTTTTCATGGTACAGACCGATTCCCATATAATTTGCATTGTATTAACTCTCTCTTGGACGGACATTCTCTAGAACGGACGCGGACACGAGAAAATATTCTCCTAGCCGGACACAAAATAAAAAGAAACGCCTCGTCTTATTTTTTTTCTGTCGAGAGTATCGCTATTGCATTTTTCAATTGTGCCGCGCGCCATCTTCGCTGGGACTTCCTCAAGTAAACCGCGAATTATTATTCTTTGGGCACATGCTTACGATTAAGTTTCCATTCAGTATTAGTCTCACGGCTATGAGGAAAAGACATAGTAGGCGACACATTCATTGTGGAAATGGCTCCCTCCAAATTATGACAGTGGTTGCAAGACCTAGATTGGAAATTGCTGAAGAAAAAAGAAACATTTTGTTATTTTTATCCAAAATTCACATTCGCTTAAATAATATAAAAATCTTATTTTTGCGCTCCAATTGTACATCATCTTGTCAACCACTAGACCAAGGAATTTTAAGGAGTTTTAAAACTTATTACCGATGACAAATACCCACAGACCTGCTGGTAAACATTGAAACTGCTGATACAGCTTTTGAGTTAATAAAGAAAATTACGTCACTGGATGCAGTTTATTTGGCAAAAACCGGACCAAGTAACCAAAAGAACAGTGCTAAATTGCTTGTGCAAAGAAGGATTTAAACATGTTAAATGAGGCTGATATTCTCAAAAATAAGAATTTATTGAAATTGACTGATAATGAAAACTTTTATGATTTTTTGAACCTGGATGAAAAATTGTACACGTTGAAGATCCAGATTCAGGCCAAGAAATTGAAAATCCAGAACTTTACGAAGATTCTGATGTCGATGAGGATTCAACAGAAGCTATTCCAAATTATGGTAAGGCTATTTATTACCCTGACCAAACAGCTCAAAAGTTTTATCAAAAATTATGGAGACACAGAATCTTTGTTACCTTATTTCTAAATTAGAAATACAATTTCAAGATGTCATTTTATAGAAAAGGAGGAGACAAACGAACAATATATGAATTTTTGCGTCCTTAAAGTGACTTTTCATTTCACTGTTTTGTGTTACTACATACAAATATATACGTACATACTTCGTATTTCTTAAATTATAGTTTTTTTATTTTAAAAACATTTGTAAACATATACGTTTCAAATAGGGTTTTTAACATATTCAGTTTTCATTAAACACGTGATTTTTGTTGTATTTTATTCCCCTCTTGAACGGACACTTTCAGTCGGTCCCGTTGGTGTCCATCCAAAGGAGATGTCACTATATATATATATCCGTAAATACTGAATTTTGAGCTTTTTTATTTTCAGATATGAAAAGGTCTCAGTCCAAACTACTCACAATACAACGATCACGGAATCAAATGGATCCAGGATACGCAAGTCAGGCAACTCAAGGACGAAAACTTGCCTAATCTCAAAATGCGCCTGTCTCAGGAAACATGGAATCTAGAAGAAGAAGACGACCCAGATGCTGCATTACGTTTTTGTAGAATTTTGATATCATTTGCATTCAAAGGTATATCAGTTATCAAAGCCTTGGGTCTCCACAATTGCTGGAACACTTCCATGAAGTCCCACAAGCAACCTGCACGTCACAACATATGGTTATGAATTCAACGTCGATTGAAAATGTAACTGACAAGGAAGGAGGCAATTATCTATGAATTGCCAAACCAAAAATCTAGCGGTAGAGATAGTGTTACTACTACGCGAGTTATTAAATATGTGAATAATGGAATTTCTGGTATACTATCGGTTCTTATACACAAATTTATTCTGGAAGGCAAATTTCCCATCTGCCGTAAGCTAGTTGTCATTATACCTGAGTTTAAGAAAGGCGATGAGGCTGATGTTGACAATTGCCGCCCAGTATCTCCATTATCAACGTTTTCTAAGGCATTTGCGAAGGCACTACACAAGTGCAATGTTTGCTTCATTAACAAGGCCGGCATAATTTTCGACAGACAGCATGGATTCTGGGATTCACAATCTATCGAGACAGCAACACTTGACTTGTTTAATAACGTGTTCAACGAACTAGATCTTGATAGATGTGTTGCAGGGGTATTTTTCGATTTGTCGAAAGCCTTTGATTTTATGAACATTTCTTTTGCCGTTATAATATCGAAGTCCAATGCTCTCTGCTGGAATTTATTGTCTTGTTCCTCTCAAACAGGAAACTCATGACAATAGCCAATTGACGCTGCTCAACCAAATACGATGACCATTTAGGTGCTGTAGAGGGATCGGTTCCGTCAACACTACTTTCATTCTGTATATTATTGGTTCGAAACTATCTGGTCATAAGATTCAATACACAGACGACACAATCTGTAGTTGTCAGCGTTGCAACACCTGGTTAACTGATATCTGCAGTGGAGAGCGTATCAAATGAAATGGAGTGGTGCCAGAAAAACCGTCTTATCCTGAATACAATATAAACAGTATATCTGCACTTCTATAAGGTCACGCCTGCAACACGATCTTTCCTCGGATCAGGCCGTTTTCCTTGGTACACATACAGATGCAAGTTTAACTTGGATCACATACGAGGGTTGTCTCAAAATTAGGGTTCCCAACGCTGGCACTGTATATTTGTCACAGGTGGTGCTAGGCGAAATTTATTGTACTCGTTACTTTGATTACTATGAGTATATCGATTTGGCAACGTTCGTCGTGTAATGAATGTCGAATTTGAACAACTTCAATGGAACCCAAACCTGTAAGAAAATAGACAACCTTAAAATTTGCAAATATTTAGTTAGTTTAGTATAGTTTATTTAAATCTGCCGTGTTTAATGCAAATATCTCCAAACCTAATGCCAAATGAGATGGGTTATTATAGGATAGGGTGTCTGGACTCACATGAACCTACAAACTGTATTTAACAAAAATGCTTAAAAAGCATGTCTTTTAGTTGGAAACATGCATGTACCAGTATACAAAATTCTACGTGGAGTCAACATTTTTAGCAAAATGTGGGACAAGTAAACACGAATCAAATTGACTTAAATTTTATTATCGTGGTCTTTGTGAATGGTGCTGCTACCCTGTTGTCGCTTTTCTGGCTCATAATACTGCCGAAATTTGCTCCAATCCAATCGACTCCTTATTCCTTTTCAGGTTGCCAAGATCACAACAATAAGAGTCAATTTGAGTCACAGTGTAAATAGGTAAACTTATTTTTTTTTATTGACGGGCATAGAATTTCATAATTGTTTTTAAATCTGGAGTTTCCAGGTTTCCACTCGAATGTGGGATATCTGGAAAGCCTGATGCAAGAGCGGCAGTGCTACAATGATGCCTGAGATGGCAGAAACCAGCGTTGCCACTCAACGATCAACGATAGTATGCGAACCAGGTACGCTCGGATTGATCCTTGTTACTTCGGGTATCTATGTGTAACGAGTACTCGAGTAACGAATAGTTACTTTGTCAATACCGTTAAAGCTCAGCACCGGCTTGACAGCCATGAGCAATGGAGCTTTTCATCGCCGTTACCGCCAGGTGCGAAATTCGTGCGGTCATCCATAGAAATTCATCGCCTCTTGATCGGAGTATATGAAGAAACGTATGTAAGCATTCCACATGTCCTCAAATGGTGAATAGGGTGCTCCTGGAGCACCTAGAAGGGCAACGGTTCGAGACGGACGAGGAGTTGCAAGGAGCAGTTACCAAGTTCCTAAGCGGGCTGGCTGACTATGGAGGAAAATAGCTTAAAGATTGACGTTTCCAATGGCGAATGCTTTTCCTCAAATAAAAAATTACTTGTGCCTGAAAGAAAATGAGGGAAAATTTTTGAAACAACTTTCGTAAATCACATTTGCAAAGAAATCGATTCAGCATATTTTGCGATATTAAAACTTAAAGATAATGCCAGAACATCGACATGTTTAACCATGTATATCCACATATTAGTAGCAACACAATGTTATAAGAGCTCGCAGGTTCGCAGTTTTCGTGCTGCAGAAAAGAGTTATTCGGTTGATCTTCAATATTAACCAAAGTTGGTCATTTAAAAGGTACAGTCTGCTTACAGTAACAACCATATACATATTCAAATGTGCTCTTTCTGCATTTAGTCGTAGGAAAAAGTTTACGCAAAATAACGAAATAAACATTCCTTCCCGCTCAAGAAATGCATTTGAGTTATGTGTCTTATATAGTATCATAGCACTTCTATCTGAAAAATGGACTCTCTTCATGTGTACCAAAATATATAATAGTCTACCGGCTCATCTATGAAGATCAACCAATATTTGTCATTTAAAACGACAACAGAGAAAAGGTCTTGTTGACAAGTATCTATATTCCCTTAACGAATATTTATTTAAGATAATAATGTAATGTCACCTTAACGTAATTTTTTCAATTTTTACTTAATGTGTGCAAGTGCGATTTTAATTAGCCCTCTTCCGTTAGCCATCTTATTTTTGGTGGGTCATTCGTAAATTTCAACGTTTGTTTTTTAAGTACATGTGTATGTCTTTATTTTTACTCACATGTATGCATGCGTGTACAGGAAGTGTGTACAGAGTTAATTACATCCAACAATGCCAGGAAAACATAGGAACAAAATATCCGATATGTTATGCATGTGTTGCTATTTTCTCTGAAGGCATTAGGGATTATATTTATTCAGGCAACGTCATTCTGAAAAGTAGTCTTGTTAGATAAAGGTGTTGCCAAAGTCTTCTCGCCGGGCGCGTCCGGAGGGATGGCTTTGAGAATGATGACGGAGCGCCATTTTAATAGTTTATAGGAAATATTATGCAAAAACATTGTCGATCATTGTTAATGTTAGATATATTATGAAAATCTTTTAGTGATGAAATACTTAAGTATTTAGTATATTGACTGATAGCCAATCGCGCACGCCACTTATTTTTGGCATATACAATTACCTTCATCGACCTTCAACAATGTGTGTATATCTGAACAATTGTGAATTTTGTTTTTGATTGTCGCTTCGTATTTAACAAATTTTAAAAAGTCGTGAGTGAGGAGACTAGAAACGGCTTACCTCAGGGGTATTTCGCTATCTTATGTGACAAGGAAACAGATTTTAAACAAGTTAAAATTATCTACAGAGAGCACAGAGCTCGTAAGATACTCACTGGAGACATGTTTCTTCCATCACTTAGATTGCACAGGATCAAGCATCTTCATGTCAAACCGGAGAGAACTCTGTTTCTTCCTCATGTAATATTCAGGTAGTAGTTGAATTTTTATAAAATAATTTACATTTAATAACTATTTTTACAACAAAGTTGAATTAACTCACAAATATTCTTACAGATTTGCATTGGCTAATAGTTTTGTCAGGAACAGTATTAAGAAGAAGCATTTTCTAAGGAGGAAAAACTCTATTTTCCCAATTTAGCTTCTTTACTTACTCCGCAACGTCCAAAAACTGTGAAAAATGGATTATACTATAACACCGTTTCACAGTTGATCCACACTTCTCCATCGTACAGAGGCCAGGGAGGAACAAGGCCTGGCAAAATAGAAAAAAATGTGCGATATATTATGTATGTGTTGCTATTTGCTCTGAAAGCATTAGGGATTATATTTATTTAGCTAACACCATAAAGACTACTTTATGATGCTCATAAATGTGTCGCCAAAGTCTTCTCTCCGGACGGACGGCTTTGCCGTGAGAATGGCGGTGAAGCGCTATTTTAATAGTTTTTGGGCAAAATTATGCAAAATCATTGTCGGATCTCAAAGTTAGAGATATTATGAAACTCTTTCAGTGATAAAATACTTTAGTATTTACGCCACTTATTTTTGGCATATACAATTATCTTCATCGACCTTCAATAATCTGTGCATTGTAAAATATTCCACAAGGTCTTTCACTATATTAAATCACACTGCACACTGCGTGCCACGGCTGTGCCGCGCCACGCCGAGCTTAGCCGAGCTCCAGCAGTACCATTGGTACCATATGACTTACTCTGTGCACTTTATTCTCATTCATGGGGCAGGCATAATTTCTAGTCTAGATCTCTCTGTAGGATTTTATTCTGAGAGGGCTTTAGAAGCTAGAGGTGAAAAATATTAGGTATTTCGGGTAAGGTATATCATTACCTCCGATGTTTTTTTTCGATATTAACTGGTGTTGTCTGTTTCTTCAACAGATTTTGGAAAGTCTTGAGAATTTTTGATGGGGTTGGAATCGGCTTATCTCAGAAGTATTTCGCTATATATGACAAGGAAACGGATTTTAAACAAGTAAAGTTTGTCTACAGAGAGCACAGAGCTCGTAAAATATTCGGGTTGTTACCATGTAGGACTTATTTTTTTAGACAGATACTCACTGGAGACAATTTGCTTCCATCACTTAGATTGCTCACGATCAGCATTTTTATGTCAAACCGGAGCGACTCTCTTTGTTACTCATGTCATATTCAGGTAAAACAACAAAGTTGGGCTAACTTACAATTTTTTTTTACATGACTGCATTGTCTAGAAGTTTTTTTAGGCACAGTGTTATGATAAAATATGGTAACTTTTGTTTAGCACTTGAGAATACGCATTTTCTAAGGAGACACAACCAATTTAGCCTCTTTACTCACCCCGCATCGACCCAAACTATGAAAAATAGACAAAAAAAGTAACACGGGAATGAGCACTTTTTATTTATTGCCTTTATAGCGCGCTAAGTAGGCGGAGGCGGTCCGGCCGCTGGCGAGAAGTGGGGCTATATCCCTTGCTACTGGACAGTGTTACAAGAATGACCAAAACTGCCAACTGCAGATAAATGCTTCTATAGAATTTCAGTTCAGAATAAGAGAAATAGATTGACCACAGCAGAAAGGTGGTCCCTTAGTTTAAGCCGTCTCGCGAATGTGATTGTGGGAAAAATTTATTGGGAATATTTTTCCAACAAGCCGCCGTTTTCGCCTTGTCTAACTGGACTATAAAGGAAAGTCGGTGAACCAGCTCGTCTCGTGCTTTGCAAGTCGCGCGACGCGCCAGTTGCCAGTACCTACACTGCATAGCGTGCTTGCGGTTATCTCAAACGAAAGAGGTCGCGATAAATGCTTAGTGGTACCGTTTATGAAGGTGATCGATTTTTTTAACGATGACAGGGCCTATCTTGACTAAAAATCAATGTGACTGCACCACTGAACCGGCTGATGATCAAAGAAGTAAGTTTTTAAATATAACGTAGTTGATGTTGGGATGACATACATGCACTACTATACATGATGATTCAGAAAAAGGTGGCAATATGTCTAAAGTAGAAATTACGCGGGGAGTTTTATAATTGCGAGAAAAATCAAAATACCGTTGGAACATACTTTGTGGTGTCTCAAGAAGCGATTAAGAATGGAATTCGCAGATTTATCATTTTTTAATAGTTATGTTCATGTTTTGATGAAAGCAGTCAGTGTTTTGAGTTACTAAGTGGACATAATTTTAAATGTATGCGTCACATCCCATAAATTGTTTTAAATTTTGCGCTATTGAAATTACCGATAAGCCGTTGGATATCTTCTCAATGCTTGGTTTCTACTACGCCGATCTGACAGTGAGCAGAGGAAACGATTTTTGTGGTCAAAAGTGACAAATTGAAAAAATATATTGTTACTTCATTATTTATTCAGATATGTAAATGACTTTTATAATAGTTTGATTATTGAATTAGTTATCCTTAAGAACCAACCGTATTTCAATCCTCAATTTAAACGAATTTGGGTAGGGAGAGTTGATCTACCATGAGCTGGGGAGATGGAGCAGTGGTTCAACTGGTATTTCTGCCAAAAATAATAATTTTACATTCTTTTCCGGATATGCCGTTTCAATTAACAAGAAAAACTAGTTCAGTTTGCACAATATCTACCAAGCAGGAGTTAAGGAGTGCTGTTTAAGATGTGAAATCTGGTGTCTCTTCACGGAAAGTAGCTACGAGGGATGTCTTTTAAGTTTTGCATATGGAAATAAAACAACACGGTAGGTAGTTGTAAATGACTTTATTGTTTTTCGAAGTATTCTCCACGAAGATTAATACACATCTGCATGCGCTCGAACCAATTTTCGAAGCACTTATTCCACTCGTTTGCTGGCAGATCCAAAACGGCATTTTTGAATGCGTCAACCGCTTCTTCGGGTGACTGGAACCTTTGACCACGCAGTCTGTTTTTAATTTTCGGGAAAGTAAATAAATCGTTAGGACTCAGATTGGGACTATATGGAGTATGGTCCAATAATTCCACGTTTTCTTCCGTTAAATACTGCCTTGTTTTTTGGGCTGTGTGCGAGCTTGCATTGTCTTGGTGGAGGATGATTCTTCTCGGTTGAGTTCCATTTTTCTAATGACTTGGTGACACTTAAAAATTCACTGTAGTGAGAACACTGCACGTATTGTTGTGAAACCGCGCGGCCTACTATGTTTCTATATGCAAAACTTGAAAGACGTCATTTACTATGTTGATAGCTCTAGTGGTAACGAGTGAAAAGGAGCTCGTGGTTCAGATGATCATTGGTATTGTTTTATACAGGGAAAACTAAATTTGTCTGACGGCTTGAGTTTAATGTCTACGAGAGAGAAGCGCGGTAAGTCCGAATGTTAAAAAGAGGTAGGAGCCGGCTGGTCAGCGAAGGTCATCGCCGCATTGCCAACAGAAAACACGTTGCCAATATGTTACATCAGAAAATATTCGCATAGGATTCTACAATAGGTTGTGTTACTGTCAAACAGGAGAAGGAGGTCTGTTCGAACATTCAATTTGATATTTTCTGACCATTTTGAATAGAATTATTTGTTTCAATTTTGATGCAACTTAGTGTTTTCATTCATTTTAGAATTATCTTTGATTTCCATCAATGATGATAAAATCAATGCATCCGAAGTTAGCAGCGCTCTCGCAAAATGTAACAAATACAAATTATCAGAGCCTGCCTATACGCAGGTGAAAGCCAATTTGAAAGAAGACGACACACCCTACGAGATGGGTACTGACCAAAATCGCTCAACTATGATCATGGAAACCTTGCCTTGGGATGTACCTACAAGATGCGGTGTTATCAAACGATGCAATGTTGCAGAACTTGTGGCTATCCTGACCTTTCATTTCGACCTAAAATGGAGCGCCGCTAGGACCGATCGAGAATCAATCCTAAACAGATTCGAAACAATTCACAATTCAAAAATGTGTACGCTCCAAATAACGCTATTATTTGGGCGTAATGAATAGACTAACGCATATTTTTTCAATATGCATCTTAATTCAAGGAACAGGTGTAACATATTGGCAACGCGGCAGATTGGCGCGTCAGCGTTGCTAAGCAACGTGGGGATGAGCTTCGCTATCCAGCCGGCTTCTATCTCTTTCTGACATATGGGTCTGTACACACTTCTATCGTTTTAGACATGAGACTTGAGATATGCTATCGATATATGCGTCGGATTCACCAATAAAGATAATTTCTTATGCCATGAATACGACCACTCATAAGGATTAAAATTATGATTGAATCATTTGAGGTTTTCTTAATGTTTTATATCAAAATTGGCAGAATAGTTCTAAAAGCACATAAAATATGTTTGAACAAAAACGGTTACATTGGGTAAATTTTGATGGTTTTTTTGACTGGACTATCACGAGGAATCCCATTGACGTACAATCATGTAACCGATATGCAAATTATATATTGGCATAGTAAAACTTGTTTTTTATTGAAATTCTATTGGCATGAAATTTTAAATCTGTATGTATGCGTAACTGGTCATATCGGCGTAGTTGATTTGGTTTTCTGTTATTTTTTCTTTAAGTTTCTTCATCAGACAAAAGATCGAACTTCGAAAATGATCAAATAGAATTAACTCAAATTCGTGGAAGTTAAGTGGTGGGTATAATTAGAGTTTCTCCTGAACTGTCTAGTTTGATGACAAAGCTGGTATATGTTGAGTCCCTCGAGAAGTATAACAGTTCCTCCAGAGTATAGGTATGTTAATTTTGTTTACAAGAAGTGTGATACTCGATTTTTTATTGATATTTCTAGAAAGCGGCTTTATAATAATAAATATGAGTTTGCATGGTTCTATGGTCCGAGCCTAAAGCGTTATTTTCGTAAACGGGTTTAACCAATTTTTAAAGAAAGGACAACTTTTATTAATATAATTAAATTTTTGATTGATACCATACAAATTTTACGCGCGATCAATAGTCTAAGAGATGTTGAACGTCAAAGTCAAAGTAATCATATTATCGCTTATAACAGTTAAACCGGTTAACCCAAAACTATAAGGGCTATTATTACTTTTGTAGGCTAAGCTTTGCTATAAAAAAGCCGGCTGCAGTTTTTCGACATGTAGTAGTTCTGTAGGTACAAATAGTGAAAGTTAAAAAATTGATCGTTTGGTAAAATTATACAGAATCATTCGGTCCTATTCCTTATTTAAAATTGATGGTTCACTTGAGGTTTCTACAAACAGGTCTATTAGAATGATTTCTAGAAGTTCACCCATAAAGTTATGACGATTTATTATTAGATTGCAGTGTTCTGACGCTATCAATACATAAACATAAAACAAAACTGTAACTTTTCGCAAATTTTTTGAAAACTAGCGTGTTTTGCGACGTGTTTTGAAACTCGAGTCTGTTTATTAGAACCGGCCGTGTTGTGTTTTCTATTTCCGCCTTGTTAGTCTGGATACGAATTTTTGTACCAAATTAGTAGATAAGTAAATAACGGTTTTTTATAGATAAGAAATTTGTTTTGAGACGCTGGATACATTTATAGTACATTAAGCTTTGACAACTGTGACCAGTAGCAACCAACCTCAGTGTTACTGCTAACTGATCTTTAACAGGAATTTAAATATCTAAAGTTTGTGTTTAACTTTGCAACTTTTCTGCCAATTAATCTAATTAGCTCTTCAAAATCAGAGGAAGACATTCTCAGAAAATCATGAAATGCGATCCAATGTCATCATTTTGGATATCATTCATCAATTGTGCAACATCATCGTTTACTCCTCTAGATAAATGTGATCGAAGCCAATATCATCAGTGTTGGCGTTTTCTTCTTCCGAAAAATAATACAATTTTATTCATAAATACAGGGCGTTTCTTACATGAACCGACAAAAAATATGGGTAATTGGGGACACCATCTAATGATTTTTGGTGGAAACCGTAATGCTCTAAGGACTACGGTTTCCGAGATATGATTTTTTTCGTTCTGTTTTTTGCTGAATTACCTACAATGGACGATCGTGATAAATTTTCTGTTTGTCGAGATAAGGACACAAGATAAATTCAGGTCGATTCTGTTTAACATACTGAATCAGTCGAGATCAATGGTTTGTACAAAGCTTCTCCATAAAATGACTTATGACCTTCCAAAGTCGTAAAATAGCGCGGAGTGAATAAACAACTTTAAATTCAAAATTCGATTACAAAAAAACTATACCTCTGGTGATACATAGTTTTATTCCAAAAAGTTCTGTGTTTCTTTGCCTTTCCAACGATATTACACATCATAGAAATAAGATGTATTGCGGTCGATAGACGAGAAAACAACTGATTAGGTTCAGGAATAAAGAGTTTATTTTTTCAATGTTTCACGTTTTAATTTGATGTTAACATATCATAAGGTATTTTCAAAATGACTGCCTTCATTTCTGTGACATGCTCGATATCTTGTTTGTATTTCGACGGTTGTTGTGTGTAGCAGGATCTCTTCCTTCATCTGACGAAAGGCAGCTTCAATCCTTTGGATTAGCACCTCTCTGTTGGGCGACTCTGCCACATACACCAATTGCTTCGCTCTGCCCCAGACGTAAAAGTCCAAGGGTGTCAGGTCTGGAGACCGTGGTGGCCAACATATAGGACCACCCCTACCAATCTAGGCGTTTGGAAACGCATTGTCCAAATACTGTCGCATGGGTTGGACGTAATGTGCTGGGCAGCCATCATGCTGGAAAATAATTGGTGCATCGGATAAAATTGGTAGCAGCAAATCAGGCAACGTAGTCTGCAGGAATTCCAGGCAACTTTCACCATTTAGCCGGTCTGGCAAAAAATAAGGTCCTATCAGAGTCCGTCCAATAACGCCGGCTCATACGTTGACGCTGAATCGTCTTTGAAAAGAGCACTGTCTTTTCTTATGTGGGTTCTGGTCCCGGTGTGCCCAATAGTGTAGATTGTGCAAATTCACTATTCTGTCATGGTTGAAGCTGTACTCACCTGTCCACAAGATCCTCTTCAAAAAGCTACCGTCGTCTACGTCCGTGTGAAGAATGAATCTGCAGAACTCCTGCCTTCTCGTACTGGCACCTTCGTCCAGATCTGTAACATGAATACGCATACGGTTAGCACAACTGCACATTTGTCAAACTTCACAAGGGCTAATGTTTATGACCATAGACTATTTTATGACTATGACTTTGACAAGCTGTATTCACGTGTTCATAAGAAATAAGGATTTCAACTCTTATGCTTGTGACTGTGATTATTAAAATGATTATTAAAATGTTGCCTGTAACACAGACCAGACTTTTTTCACCGACACAGCAAGTGTTTCAGCCACAACCCGAATACTTGTGGTAGGATCCGCATCATATGCTCTCAGGATTTGCTCATCAGTAGTCAAACTGAGTTGTCGACCACTCACCTAGGCTCTTGAAAATTCACGCTCTCAGTCTCTCTCAGTCGCCGATATGTTGTCGCGATTGTCCCTTGTTGAGGTAACAGCCGATCAGTGTATCGCTGCTGGTAAAGTCTTTGCGCTTCGTTTGAATTGCAGTTAGCACTGCCATAAGCCAGCAACATATCAGCATATTCGTCGTTACTGAACCTCGGCATTATGACAACAATGAAACTTGATAATGACGGTGAAAATACTAACAATAACAAAAACAGAGACAACAAAATCAAACGCAAATACACTTCTCGTATGAGAGATAGTTAAAGCTCGACTAGCCCTAATTTCGTAATGCACTTTTATCTATGAGTAGATGAGGTAATTGAAGTGTAATTATCAGGTAAGCTCAGGATTAGACATTAATGGCAGCGGTTTAGAACACTTATGATAAATCGTTTTAAATCATAGCTAAGTAAAATAATTGCTTGTTGAACCAAATAGTACAATTGTGGTAAACGGTTGTCATTAATACCCTAAGACGTATTATGGTAATCCAGGTATCGGATGTCATTAACTTCAAATCCACCTGCATGAGAGGTATTCCTAATCTGTGTACTGGTTGGCCCTTGCTAACTTCATTATTCTCAACAAGTGGTGGCAGTCATTTCGAAAAGAGAAACCACATAAAAATGAATAAATCGCACCAAAAATCATTAGCTCGACACACTATTTCCTGTAATTTTGACCACTACACAAATTATTTCTATGATGTGTAGCATATCGTTGAAAAGGCAAAGAAACACGGAACTTTTTGAAATAAAACAAAGTATCACCAGAGGTATAGTTTTTTTGTAATCGAATTTTGAATTTAAAGTTGTTTATTCACTCCGCGCTATTTTACGACTTTGGAAGGTCATAAGTCATTTTATGGGGAAGCTTTGTACAAACCATTGATATCATCTGATTCAGTATGCTATATAAAATCGACTCGAATTTATCTTGTGTTATTATCTTGACAATCAAAAAAGTTATCACGATAGTTCTGCGCCATTGTAGGTAATTCAGCAAAAAAAAAAAAAAACGAAAATAATCATATCCTGGAAACCGTAGCCCTTCATCAAATAGCGTGCAACTGTAGATAGGTCACGTCATGGCCTACTAGATGGTAACATTTTGTTTTATTAAAAGTATTATAGTTTTCGAGATTTCCAGCATTCATTTTTTTTAAAACTGGCTTATATTCAGTTAATCCCGTACCATTTCTATAAATATCAACTTTTTTGAACCAGGTTTGTTCTAGAACACCCATAATCAAGCATTTTACCTTGTGCAGTATTATGTTGCCTCGAAGTGGCGAAAAACCCACACAAAAACCGTGCCAAAGTCTGAATTTCTATTAAAACCCATTCTCACGTCTGACTTTGACACCCTATAGAGTGAGACGATCAAGTACGATTTCAAAAAAATTGGCCAACTGTTGGCCATTTTTAAAATGGTATTACTATTATTTGCCTTCTGCTGTTTTTTCGTTGTATTGCAGTTATAATGGAGGAGGGTCAGTTTTCGTAGATAGCAGAAAATTATTTATGACTTGGATACAAAAAAATAGGCAGGATTAACGTTAAATGATGATTTACTTCTGAGATATCAATACGTAAATGGGCACCATTGTCTGTTATGCATGACCTACATTTTGTCTTAAAATACTTTTTTGACTTACAGGAAATAACCGCTGGAATTCTCGACGATGCCTCAATTTTGAAACTCAATTCTGTTACTGTGGCCAGCACAGCTTGGTCTACACATTCTCTAAAGCAACCCTAATAAAAAATTCAGTTGTCTCAGGTCCAACGATCTTGGAGGTAATGAAATAAGGCCGCGCATTTTTGTAATAGAAGTGGTCTCGATCTGACCGAGCGTGATGTGCCAGAATATTATTTATTACTTTACTTTATTATATTGTTTAGTATTATTATGTTGCAGCAGATTTAAGGTCCATTCACACTCAGCCGTGACGTGACAGTGCCGTGACGTGCCAGTGATTCTCGCTGACGTGAGCTCACAGTGTTTTCAATTCACACCGGTCAGTATTTTTCTCCGTGCTCTGACAGTGTAGTTGTCTTCACGTGAGGTCGAAATGGCAAAATTTGAAGAAGAAGAATCGAGAAGAAAACGGAAGTCCATGTATTTTGAATTTGACTGGTTCTACAGCATAAGATGTGCGCGCACAAAGTCAATTAGTTTTTCATCATTCATGTTTTTGACCAAATATATCAAAACATTCACGAAATTACATAAAAACACGGCCGTAAAAATCGAAAAATATCGTTCCAAAACAATTCGACGATCACGGTACGGCGTCGTCGAGGGCACTGAGAACACGACCACTTCCACATGCCGGTAGTGTGATTCAGTTCATCCAGATCCCAGGAAGAATCTTTTTAGTTTCGCCGGGCGGATCACGTGCCGGTCACAGCACTGTCACGTCACGGCTGAGTATGAGTAGTCCTTTATTTGCCCTATTTACAGACGTGATAATGGTTTTTCTTAGAAACTCAGACTGGCAGAATAATTTCTATATGGGTTTCTTCCATTTCAAGTAAAACATAATGCTGTAAGAGATAATACTGCGCCACATCACTTCACCCAGAACCTCCTCGTCGACATCCATCCGAGGTCTGCTATTGTTACCTCTCCTACTTGCAGTCCCTGTTTTCGGTAACCGGCCTTCTGAATATGCTCGATGAATATTAATGAAAACATAGTAACTGGGAAGTTTTCGAATGGGATATCTTTAATCAGAAAAGTATTTTCCAGTTAATGTTTTACATAATACTGGAAATAAAACCACTTTACCGCAGCGTTTGTACTGAAGCACTGGCATTCCCCGCTGAGCGTATTAGTCCAGGCTAGATAAAAAAGGTGAAAATTGCTCAGCAGATCTCTGAAAGTTTTAAATGGAAAGGGGGGTTTTTCTAATGCCAACCTGTCCAGATCCTCTTGTTAAAATGAATCATATTTAAAAGTTATTGTAAACTATCAAAACGGCTATTTCTTCAACATCATTTTTAACAACAATTTTGAAATAAATAATCTTTTGCTTAAATTCTTGAAGTTGAAACCTCCAAGATTATCTTATTAGTGTGAGAGTAAAAGTAAATAATTTATTGTTAGTTTATTATTAATACATAGTAATTAAATTTTGAAGAATACGTGTTAAGTTTTCTGGGATCTCCCGATTCTTCAGGAAAATGTGCCAGTTGTTATTTTGACAAGTTGCCCAAATTAAAAAGAAGGCTTTCGTTGCTTAAAAGCCGAGATAATTCAAAATTTTACAGCTCCGATTTGAAGACTCAATTTCAAAAAATAAATCGAGCTAGAGCCACCTCACCTGGAAATACTCACGCGACTGCTCGTACATTCACTTTAGGTGGCTATTTCTTGAAGACCTTTAACTAATAGTACTTTTATAAATTGGATCATAAAATTAAGATCTTTGATTAAAATCTGTGAATATTTCGAGTCGTGATGTTTAAAAACAAAGGAGATATGAATTTAAAAAAAAATTATCTTGGTTCCTATTTGTCGTAGAAGGTTTTTTAAAAATATGCGTTTTTTAATCTCCTATCCAGATCAACTTGTCGAAATGAATTATTTCGAAAAATAAAGAAGCTATTGTAAATGTTTATAACTATAAAAATGGCTATTTTTTATAATCATTCTTAACAACAATTTTGAAATGAATAATTAATTTTTTGCTTGAATTCTTGGAGTTGAAACCTTCAAGAATCCATTTTACTTTTGTAAAATGTTTTAGAATCATCTTGGGCAAGAACGGTTGTTTAAATAATTCGTCTCTGGAATAAACAATTAGCTTTTTACATAAACTATTAAACCGGTTCGGCTGGAATTTAGCATACTTATTAACACCAATGATGCCATCATTCTCACATATTTTTAGTTATTTACAATTGTTATTGCAAGAGTTATAAACATTTATTCAATATTGCTAAAAAGCCCCGTGTTTAGTTTGATTGTGTATCGATTTTAATTCTTAAAAAATAAAATTGAAGGTCTTTTCTAGTCTAAAATTTAAAATTTACTGTTTATTTATAAAATTTTATTTGAAAATTATACAAGCAAATTACTGAATTTTGAGCTTTTCTCCTCTTTTATGGAATACAACACATATCTAGCTGTATCCATTTATATATTTGTCATTTAAAACTTTCAGATATCTGCCAAAGTTTTTTACACGAAATACCTATTTTATTTTTCTCTGTAACCTGGGCTATATAAGCGTACATGGACATAATGAATCAACTAACTTCTAAGGCACAAAAACTAGAGGACTAATAAAAACTATAAAACTCAAAATACAAATAACAAGAGGCACTGAACAACTACTGACTTTTAAACATTACATAACTTAGGAACAAGGTAACAAACATGCTTCTTTTAGCATTAATTTGAGTGTGTCAGTTTGTCAATCAAAATTATTTTGATTAAGATCTGCTGCAACATACAATACTCGGTAATACTCCGGCACATCACACTCGGTCAGATCGAGACCTCTTCAATACAAAAATACAACAATACAACATTCGTAAAGGTGGATCAGGCTGCGCGGCCTGTCATTGCCACCAAGATCGTTGGACCCAAATCCTTTAAGTTTTTTTAGTTTTGCATTAGATAATTTGTATACCAAGCTGTGCTGGCCACAGTAAGAAAATTCCAAAATTGACGCAACCTCGAGCATTCGAGCAGTTATTTTTTTTAGCTTAAAAAATGTTTTACGACAAAATGTAGGTCATGCATAACAGTCAATGGTGCTCAATACATCGATATCTTGAATTTAAATTATTATTTAACATCAATCCTGTTAATTTTTTTGTATCTAAGCCATAAAAAACAGCAGGGGGCGAATAACAATAATACCATTTAAAAATTGCCAATAGCTGCCCAACAATTGGCACAGTGATCGTACTTGATCCTATCACTCTACAGGGTGTCAAAGTCAGACGTGAGAAGGGGTTTTAATGAAAATTCAGACTTTGGCATGGCATTTAGGTGGGTGGGTTCTTCGCCACCCCAAGAAAATATAATGCTGGACAAGATAACGTGCTTAAGTGTTTTAAAACAAACCTGGTTCAAAAAAGATGATATTTGTAGGAATGGCATGCAACTAACTGAGTATAAGTCAGTTAAAAAAAAGAAAGCTGAAAATCTCAAAAACTATAAGACTTTTAATTGAAACAAAATTTTACCATCTAATAGGCCGTGACCTATCTACAGTTGAGTGTTACCTTTCAATTTTGGTAGTGATAAAAAAAGCTTTTCTATACATGTTTGTTGGTTTTTGAAAAAAAAGACTGTACTTTGACTTTCTGGTGACAACCAGTAGAAAAGGACCAAAAACAAAAGCAAAAGTCGAACAAAATGTAACCCGCTTGATAAAGCATAAGTATTGGGTTTGTTTCAGCTTAGTTTGTTTTTCAGGTTTTAGAAAATAGAATCACAACATAAAATAATAGTCTGTCCGTTTAGTGGAAAACCGCCTTTAAAGATATTTAATGAGCTTTCTGTCAAAACATTTTCTCAGCCCTCGCGTAATTTCAAATATTCATACTTTTTGAACATGTTCATTCATTTTACAAGGTTTTGTCAAAACCGGTACAACGCTGACTGGTTTTTCGCAGGAAATCAAAACGACAGGTGCATCATCGACAATGACTATATAATATCTTCTACTATCTAGATAGTGAAAATAAGCATGATGCGGACCACCATTCCTGAATGTAAGGACTCTATGCCATTACAATTTATGACTATGTACTCTAAATGTTGATTTAGGCTCCGATTCCTACGAAAACGTCATCATCACTAAGAGGTTTGAACCACGAATGTTTTTCCGTCAGCGATGCTTTTTTATTTGGTATCAGTACCGGTTTTATCATATTTTATGTCTGAACTTTTCAGATGATGTCCTGAGTGAAGCACATATCCAGGTAGCCGAATGGCGACTGCATAAAGTGCAATCACCCATCGAGTTAAACCACGACGATAGCATCCACCATGACCATTTTGAGCCGCTTGAATTCCATGGTCATTGGGATACACATGGTATTGCTGCCTTTACTAACAACGGATTCACTGGTAAGTGATGGGAATTGATGTACTCTATAAATAAATATTTTTAGTTTCTATTTATCCAGATGTTTTATTTTACGTGAACGTGGAAGTGTAAATATCCGCCTGAAGAAAAGAATTGTTGTTCAGACCATGAGATTTTCTCGAAGATATATAAACCTAACCTAACCAAATGATCAGATCATAAAACTTAAATCAGTGGAACATCTGAAACCTATTCTGTTGTTTACATGCCGCGAATGCCTCATGCTTGTCTGGCCAACAAAACCACATGTATTGACATAATCTTTTTTACTCTTAACGTTTCAATAACAAATGTAATCATCAGTACAATGACCTTCCAAGTGGCAGTTCGTATCTTTTTTATTTTCATTAACACATTCCTATACAGTGTGTTACTACAAAAGTTGTAGTGGGTGATTGTTTTTGGACACAGTTCATAGAAATACCTGAAACATTAATGTTACATCTGAAACTTGTTGTCATATCGATAATCCCCCATGTTTGTCTTGCCAATCGAGTCAATCGAACGCCCATACAATTGGCTCACGAATATTCTTTCCCTGCTCTATTGGGAGTACCGTACAACCTGCAACGTCGCTCCTCTCTCATAGCTGCATCAGACTTGACAGTGCAGCAGTAATGGCAGGACACTCATTGAGACCGGGTCGCCTGTCGGAGAACTCAGAGAGTGAAACAGAGACGCGAATCGATAACATTTCTTTTTCATTAAAACATTGAGACATAGACTCCCCCACCCGTGGCAATCCCCAACCCCCAAGTTTGGACGATTTTCGCCGCCACTAACCTGATTTTCAAAATCTATAAAGATTTTTGGTCCTTGGCATAGTAGTAACGTTGCATGGACATTTCATCCAAATCCGTGCAGTACTTTCCAAGTTATAGACAAGCCAAGGGTTAGCGGTAAACAGACCTATAGACAGACTAACCTTACCTAACTAAAACTTCACTGAAAAATTTGAAGAAAGTCTGGCTTTCGAAATAGTTGAATCGAAATTGGCGTATTCCGTAGAATTGATGTTTTCCTACGAGTATTATTTTATTATTAAAGGGGTTAGTTATAAAATTATTTAAGAAGCCGTACAAGACAAGTATTACTGCAAGTTTGGAAGCATACTATTTATTCCAATATCGTTGCTGCTAAGCATGTTATATTTCCGACCAATTATCAGAATGTTCATGTTTCTTGTGCTAGTCTTCCCTTAGATTATATGAATCATGAAAACATTAGCAACAACGCTATTCATATTAAGTTAGTAGCTTTGCTATCAAAGCACAACCGTGTCGAATGACGAATCAGATCACGCTTTGTCTTGTAACATGAGGAGTAGAGTGTGTCACAATCAATGGAGAAAAAAAGAACTTCTTGTTTACATACAGTTGCATTTTGATGAAAACATCATTTAAATATATTTGGCTAGCTCAAACAATTTGAAAAATCAAGAAATATCATTTTTAGACATAAGTTGTAGTATATGTGTAGTCTCTAGTTTTTTATTCTTTATTGCAGTATATATTTGAAGTAGCTTAATTATGAAGTATACTATTGAAACAAAATTAAAAATGATTCTGATATGTTTATTGAAAATATAACAACAGCATTTTCCCAATTTCTCTGCCATGTCAAGTGACGCTACTTGAAGTCCCTTTCAGACTTGAATTCAGGTATTATCTTCCTAAAATTAAAAGCAATGCAGCAATCAATCCTTCACGGGCTTAGAAACCTTTAACAGAACTTGAAGCTTCACACATTTTCACACACATCTCCACCGCCACCGCTTGAGTGTGGCAGGGAAACCTTTGGAATTCAAACATTTTTACATTTCCTTCTCTGACGTTTTTTTCTATATTCGCCGTTTCTATATGAGCGTAAAATCGGTGTTTCCAACAAAATTAGATTTACCTCATTCCAGTTAATTACGTCGTAGCAATGATATCATTCAAAGTTGATCTTTGGTATAACAACATTTTTCGTCAAGCCTGTAGCCAGGTACGAGCTTTGGTAACTCTTATGCAGCCAAGATCTCGTACTTATTCGCTATCATCGGTTAACCTTGCTAGCAACAAGTTTTCTGTTTGTGCGAAATATATATATATATACGAGTATATCTTCGGAAAGAAACCTTGTATTTTTATAGGAAACCGTACATGTCTTGCATCACCTTTACATGAGCTGTTGCACTTGACCTGAAACCATGCTGGACTGAAGGGTTTTGCAAATGTAAGTAGCTAGCAAGCATAATTTGCTAGATGGTTTCTCGTCTCTCTTGATATAAGGGTAGAATTCTGTTAGCAGTTGTACAAAACTGGGCCTCCGACATTTTTCCTGGATCTCGTCTCGCTGTCTGTGTTAACCTCTACTCTAGCAACAGCTAAATATATAAACAATTCTTATCTGTACTGTTTTTGCTTGGAATTTGAGGCAGAGAAACAAACAACAAACCTGGTGATAGGTCTATTTTCACAAGTCTTAGGTGCTGTGTCAATTAGACCAGTGGTACTACTATTCGTCATTGTCTGTCAGACCTTTGCTCTTGATTGAAGTCTTGTAAGTCAGTAGGTTTGTCAGGTCTGGTTGCCCAGATACCAAACAAAGTCAGGGAGAAAGAAGGGAAGAAGAAAGGAAGGAAGGAAGGAGGGAGAGCAAAGAAAAAGAAGTGCATCACTTTGAAGGGTGCCTTGGCATTGCTAGTTAGTATTCGGCAATTTTAAATTGATCCTAAAATTAATTTTGGGATTGGTTGTTGAAGAAAAATTATAATTTTGGTTGGACCTAAAGTAACACGATTTAATTTTGTTCACAGTGCGAGTCGCGGCCTTGTGTGCTTGCGAACTTGCTCGACTGTGTAGTCTACTGACTCGCGCAACAAAGAGTTGTTATGCGATTCTGCTTGACTGTAACGTAGCTGCGCTTGTTGTTTGATGTAGTCCCTTAGGTAAGGGATGTCAAGGTCTCTGTGAAGGGTCTCGTTGGAAACATACCATGGGGCGTTAGTGATTGTACGCAAGGTTCTGTTCTGCAAAAGCTGCAGGCTACGCAAATGCGTTTTGGCGAGAAAACAGCAAGCCGCACTTGCGTAAGTGATCGCTGGTCTAATAACCATCTTGTATAGTCGAACTTTGTTGATCAAACTTAATTTTGATGTTCTAGACCAGTGGTTTGTCCATCAAAATGCTGGAACTAATGCCGCAATGATAACTCATTGGAATCCAGTTGACAAATAAGCCACTCATAATTTTGTATGAATAAATTCAGTGCTAAATTTTTTAGAACGTGGTCTAAATACTATCATGCTAAAAGCAAACGCTTCCTTCAGTTGTGATTAGTCGTGTTCATCAGTTTCGCGAAACTCCCCTGATTATGAAGGTCTACTTGTAGATTGAAAAACTTGAAAGATGTCATGGTCATACGAGCAGTGTGAGATACTACTAAACGAGTATGAGAAATATAAAAACAGAAATGCCAGATAGGCTGGGTTGGATAAAATCAGAATGACTTTAGAACCAATTAAGCTTATAAGCCGGTGGATCTTCCACTAGAAGTTCTGTATTTAGCATATTATGGAGTACATACATAGCATTCACGGGTTTTACGTATCTTGAAAAGTGAAATTTTATTTGACATTTCGTAGGTTTTTTGTGACTTAACGTAGGTTTTTCTACAAGATTTTAACTTAGAACAAGCTATTGCACACTTGTTGTGAAGTCATTTTGTAGCTGCACGTGTTACTTGATCGCCAGCGAACAGCGATCATAGGGAGCAAACGTGGTATGACCTATTTGCACACTGAAAGATGACATTGCGTCGGTTTTCTTTGACGTTGTTAGGTTTTTTACTTAATACTCCTGTTGTTCCCTCTCCAGAATCCATTTTCGACACCAAATTCTTTTGTGGTTTCCTTTACTCCGTTTTTTTTCATGAGGTGGGCAGCTACAACGCAGATCGCTGCTGCCGCGGTCGTATATATTACGTTCGAATTACTGGATGCTCCATTTTCACCAATATTCTATTCGTTCAAAGCAATAAAGGAATAACGTAACAGGCCGCAACGGAAAATGTGGTTAGAATGACTTTTATGTGACAAATGATAGTTCGCATTTGACAGTTATAGCTTTTCTACCTACTGTGCAATGCATTTTGAAATTTATTACTAAAATTTATGTACCTGAAAGACTAGATTGTAAACAAATTGGGAACTAAGTTCAGTAACGCATTTTTTCACAAAATTTGGTGCCGAATTATGAACAAAATTTTGTATCATGACAGGCGGCCTTAAAGACTAATTCTTCGAATTGAAATTGGAATTTAATTCAATTAATTATCATAACTCCTATAAATTCCGTTTCATCCTGGATGGTTACTCATTTAGCAGAGTACCTGAACTAAACGAGCCTATTTGCACCAATTTTAATATCGGCGGCATATGACACCGTTTGGCGCCACGGTCTAATCTACAAGCTCATCCAGGTTATTCCATGCTTAACCACTGCTACATTAATCGACAACATGCTTAGTAATCGAACATTTCAAGTTGTCATGGGGACCGAGATCAGCACCCGAAGGAAGCTGAACAATGGATTGCCGCAGGGATCTGTACTGGCTCCTCTGCTGTTTAGCTTGTACTTAGCCGACATGCCCGACACCAAATCGAGAAAATTTGGCTATACGGATGGCTGGGTTATCGCAACAAGGAGCGGGGCCTTGGAGGACGCAGCGGAAATACTTACTGATGACCTGAATGCGATAGGAGACTATTTTCGAAAGTGGAGACTTCAACCTAATCCCTCCATAACAGAGGTGTTAACATTTCACTCAAATGATAAGTTGCCAAACAGAAACCTCAATATTGTATTCAAGAATACCTTACTCACGTATAACAAAACTCCGAAGTATCTTGGTGTCACTCTTGACAGAACGCTGTCTTTCAATGCGCACCTGACAAAAGCCGCAGAAAAACTAAAAACTAGTAATAACATAATACAGA